CATTTGTCCAAATTTGGATAATATAGATAGACAGTCACAATTTTTCCTCAAACCCTAAAATCACTACTTTGCAAGTGTTCACTCTCATTCTAATTTTACTGTGAAACCAACTGTGCACTCACCTTTTATTGTTTGTCACATTGAAAGCTGTAATTGGAAACATTTTCGTTATTGTAGGCCGCAACATGTCATCTCAACGAGGCAGGATTATTGTCCAAAGACATTTTGCAGCCGTGCTGGTGATTTATGTCTGACCGGGCTGACTTCTACAACCAGCCCCTGTCTGACACGAAGCACTTGGGAAAACCATTTCTTAGATTGTGATGAGTTAGACATGGATTTAATTTTTAATAAATCCAAGACTCGTGCAATTTTCTTACACTTTCTACAGAATACACCAGATTACACTCTAGATTTTTCAGTTATGAAACTGCTCTTTATTCCTTTGTATCTAGTCTGCATTTTTTCACTCCAGAAAGCCACTTGCCTAGTTTCTTGGTAAAACAAACAACATCCAAAACAGGACCAAACCACTAGTAGCTGCTGTTTTTTGGATTACTAAGTTTTGCCCTTGATGTTGGGTGATTGGGCCAGGTTTGCAGAAGCATTTGGTCAATCCAAAAGCTGGATGGTGTCAAAGACCTGGGTCTGAGGGACCCAGGGTTCACGAGAAGTCTTTGGACTTGTTTATATTTTTGATGGCATGTGTGTGTGTGTATTGTGCTGCTGTCCCTGTTTTCCTGCGTGTGTGTGTGTGTGTGCGTGCGGGTGTATCTGGTAGGCTGGTTTACAGGCACCACCATCAGGCCTGGTGAGTGTACCCTGCCAGGCCAGGTGGCTGGCCACACCCAACGATGACACACACCTGTAGCTGATCAGCCTCTCCGGGGAGCTACTTAGCAGTGCGGCTAAGCTCTCTTCGACGGTGGATCGTTGTGTGACTACCCATCAGTGTTCTCAGCAAAATCAGTGAGTGTTAGTCTGTCGCTATTTGGGTGTGTGTTAACGGCTGCCTCTGTGGATTTTCCAGCAGGAGTGCAAGAATAAGAGGGCAGTGAGCTCGAAGACACGGAGTACCTTCAGAGTTATTTACTTATGACTGCTGTTAACATCCATTTTAACAGCATGACCAACCATTTATATAGTAACTGCCTTGTGAAGCTTAACAATAAAAAACTGGCAACAAATAAAAAATACTTTCAGAAATGTTAAATATTAAATCATTAAGACAACATAAACCTCTAGCCCCATGGTAGCTGAGCTAGAGGCCCCTCCAAACGACCCTGACAAGGATAAGCAGAAGAGAATGGATGGATGGGTGGGTTGGGTGTCCAACCCAAAAATAAATGAAGACATGAGTTGTATACCACACCAGCAGCTTACCCTGGCCAGCCCTGTAGAAATAGTCTGCCTCTACCAGTAGCACCCACTGAAAAGTGGGGCCACACCAACCCAATCTTTACCAAACACTTTACTGGTCATACTCCGTGCCATTTCTGCCCCCCCCCCCCAAATTAAATGCAATGGATGATGGATATTTCAGACTAATTGGACAAGTGACGGTAGTGAGCAATCCAAAGGTACAGTAGCAGGAATATTTGGAGCAGTTGAGAGGTGCAAATGGACAAGTTGACTCCGAAAGCAACCATTCAAAATGCTTTATTTACAGGTGTTTGGAATTTAACGATGCTGGAAATAGCAGCAGGAAATTGTGCAGGTAAGAGTCTGATAACAGGAACATGGCAGGAAATCACTGCCAGAAATAAACAAAACAAAAACAGAACTTAGACTCAGTGAGAGGTAAGTGTTTCAAAGTCAATATTCATTTCAGAATGAAGTGGAGCCAGTTGTCTTGGTCAGCAGACACTGACTGGCTGGAAGAGTCCAGGGAGGAGGGGGGCAGAGACGTACGTTACGGGTAAGTATTCCTTAGGTAGCTGGTAGCCAGCTTGTGATCACAGGTTGAAGTAAAAATGAGCTCTGAGCATGAGGGAGCCAATTACCACCATCGAAATGACAACAATCTGGAGAATGAAGGCACAAGCCAGTCTTTAAATGCTTCTCACTGATGAGATGATGAGAGACGGAAGTGACGGCTGAACCCTGGGAAACAGAACAGGTGGGCCCAGCCGGAACAGCCATCCCATAACTCCACCTGAGACCAGAGAGAGAAAGAAAGTAAAGTAAAACACAAAAACCTGCACGTTGCCCGGGCCACCACACATAAAGGGCAGAGCAGGCATGACTTTTTAATTTTTATGGGCAGAGATGCATGCCCGCACATTCCTGTGGTGATCTGGAACAACAAGATTTAACAGTATTTACTAAATGAGTCTGTGACAAGTGCCAGAACAGTTTATCCCTGTTACCAGTATCACTGTGACTGTTTTGATAATTAGTAACTTGTTTAATCTGTCAAAAACTGTGAAATACTCTCTGGTTTGATTTTCTCACATATTTGATTGTTGCCTTTTTCTGTTTTCTATCAACTTTTGTTGTTGTTGTTGTTGTTGTTGTTGTTTTTAAGCTGCTGTCTAAAGAAAAAACAATTAAGGACGATTACTTTGTAAAATTGCTGTTAGAAATAATTTTCTGATTAATCTCTAATAGGGAGACAGTTGTAGACACAATATAAAGTAATTTTTCCATGGAAACAAACCATTAATATTCCAACAAGCTTATTTGGAGGAAGAAGATTGACTCTGGGAAGCGAGTCATTAAATGATAAACCTCCTCCTGTGAAACTATGCGTATCGTCTGAAATGCTTTTGTTTTTATCTCAGCTCCCTGGGTTGCCGCCTGCTGACAGTTCTGCTGCATCACTTTCAAAAAGCAGAGTGCTGACTTCATCTGTGATTTCAATCGGCTCTGCCTTAACCTCATTTGCTCCTTTAATGGTCAGTGCATTCTCTGTCTTATTGATTCATTTCCAAAGACCATTTTTAGTTTCCGAGTTAGTTTCATTTTCCAAGTCTGTTGGTCCATTTTAAACCTCACTAATTACTTTGACATTAGTAATTTTGTCACCCAGCACACCCAGGATCATAATTTCAAATTAAAATGTCACAATGGTTCTTTTTCTGAGAGCAGTCAGCCTTACCACCGCTTCAGTTACTGGTTAATAAAGTGGAATGAATATCTGCACTGGCTTCAGTTTTAAAGGAAGACTCAGCTCAGAAGCTCTGCCAAAACTGCACACCGCCATTTGTCAACACAATGGCCTTGGAGCACAGGGTTTCATTTTGCAGTTGATATCGTCACAGTTTTGCTCTTGTGATCGATCACTCTGGGAGCCGAGCTCAAGTCCACTTTACTCCTTTTGGCTATAGCTTGAGGCTTCATGGATCAAGGATTGCTAGTTAAACTCCAGAGAGAGACCTGCAGACAAAGATCAATTCCTATTCAGAAAAGGTGGATTACAGGGGGAAAAAAATCAGAGACAGATACACTGAGTTGATGCTGTGTGGTGTTTTCCTTTTGCAAAGTGAGATTTTCCTTTTGTGAGGTTTTCCTTTTGCAAAGATACAAAAAAAGACCTTTAAAGTGTTTTATGTCAGTACAGTGAAACTTTTAGGTTAGAGCTGACAAGACCAGTAATAAAAAGTTGAAACTGAAACTTTTTATTGTGACAAAAATATATTTTCTCTCCTTTGTCATGTCATAAGATGACTCTGAGACCCACAAATTATTTCATATGTTAATCTGGTTCCTGAAATCACTGAATAAACATCATAATAAATGGTGATCTGATAACAAAGCATTGCACTAAGTGGCTTTGATTACCCAGACCTAGTAATACCAACACAGGCCCTGATCAGACTGTATTAATAGATCCCAAGTCTGAAAAGTCAAGCCACTGTAGAAGTGCTTGTATTTATTGGCCAATAGGGGGCAGTCCCTGTGGTTACAAGAAGAACTGCTGAATCTGTCACTGGTTGAAGTATTGCAACAAAAACCTCGTAGTCATTGCTTTTGTTGCTAGCAGATTTCCACGGTTTCCTGTAGTTTTTCATATTTTTCTACAAATATTTTCTAACTACTAACCCAGCAGTAGTAAAACTTGAAAAATCAGAAATAAAAGTAAGTAAGTAAAAGTTGTGTATTTTGACTTTGAAAGTGGCCCGTGTGAGTGGGGCCTTATTCATTTAACCCCACATTATCACACATCAAAGATCACACATACATTTATGTGTTTAGTGGTCATGTGTTTGAAATCCTTCGTTGAATGATTAGACCGAGGTGTGGTGACCCAGGGTGAGATCTAAAACCTGCAGGAACCTCTCCAGGACTAACCTTCCCTACCCCTGCCCTAGTTTGTCTCAGCCCTAAAGCCTTAAAATAGTAAATTACACACAAAAAAATCTTATAGTACGGTAGTTATAAAGACTGTTTTTGCACTCAGCAAAATAATAGTAATAGTAATACATTTATTATTTCAAGCAGATATGAAGCTCCACGCCAGATCATGTGTAGTCGTGTGTGTGCTTCACCTGTACAGCAGCTTGCTAACCAAACAAACTGGTGTGAGCTGATAACTTTGCACTGCTGTTTTAATCATATGTGGTAATTTCTAGCTACCGTACCCACCTGAAACATAAACAGAAAACATGGAACTGACTGTTTCTGTCTTTATTTATTTATTTTTCACAGCACAAGGTTTCACCATTATGCAAGACAGATACATGTAAAAGATCAGACTCTTGTATAGAGCCACTTTTCATATAATACCATATGCATCAGGGCACAGAGCTGCACAAATAAATAAAACCAATTTTTTTCTAAACCAGTTTTCCACGTTAAAAAAAAAAAAAATAAATAAATAAATAAATATATATATATATATATATGTGCCACCCCATTTATAAAATCCTTCAAACGACCCTGAGTAAAGAGCAGTTTATTGTTGTGTCTAATTAAAGATCCATTTACTAACTTATTGGCGTCAGTTGTGACACGAGTGCTTGTTGCTAATTCCCACCTACTAATTGGCTGCATGAGGTTGCGTCATTTCCTGACAGGGGACGGTCAGAAGCGAGAGATCCGCCAGTTTTTGCTCAGTCGCTCTAGTAACGTTTGGGAAGCGGACTCTGAGCTGCAGGACACCGTCGCACTTCAAGCAAACGGATAATAAAAGCAAAAACCAACAAAGCTCTCTTGTTCCGTGCAGATGTGCATAGATAGATATTTTTTGCGAGCTTGAAGTCGTTTGGAAGTAAAACGGTGACCACAGCGGGATATTGAACTCCTCGAGACGCGGGGCAGGAGCCCAAAAATAAGTTTTCATCCTTTTCTGTTTTCTTCATCGAAGGAATTGTTATTCCTTTTTGCCGAATTTGTTGGACTGAATGCGTGTAATTTTCAGTTCCGGTGTTTATTCTGAACTGGAGTGGGGCTGTTGACGGCGAGGCGGACACCAGAGAAGCGGCAGCTCGGTAGCCACCTGACCTCCTGGAAAATAAGACGGCAGCTGATGACACGCAGGCAGAGAGCTTTACGTGGCACATTAGTAAGCTCACTGACGGAGTGGGACGAGTTTTCCACGCGGCTGTTGCATTCCCAGCCGTGACGCACCGTTTGCGCGTGAAGTTTGCGGAATACTGTTAGCGATATCTAATCAATATTAGCGAGATAATTTGGGTGAACGCTGACATTGAGTTGGGCATAATTCTCTGAACTTCTTTCGTGTCTGCGAGAATAACAGCCTGAAGTGGTTCATCTGTCGGTACCGGAGACCATGGGTATAACCGCGCTGCAAGTGCTCCAGTGGTCGTGATGCCAAGCGCCGGTCTGATCCCGCGCGTCCACCCCGTTATGTGCGCTCTCTAACCCCGCAGAAGTGTGGTGCCGTGTCCCGGTCACACCGCCAGGATGAGCAGCACCGACCTGGAGCGCATGTCGCTCAGCTCTTCGGCAAACTCTGTGGCGTCCAGCGCACGGACGCTGTCAGCTAACGTGAGGAAGCTGCACAACGCGCTCAATCTCCTGCTCAACGATTTCGAAAGGGAGCAGTTCATCCACTGCCTGAATGTCTACCACTCCAAACGCAACGTGTACGACCTGGTGCAGACCCTCAATGTCATCCTCAACGCTCCCAGCAAACGGCAACTTCTGCCCATGCTTCGGCTGGTGATCCCCCGCTCCGATCAGCTCCTTTTCGAGCAGTACACCTCGGAGGGCCTTTACTTAAAGTCGGATTTAGTTGCAAGCAACGGACACGCCGAGCCGTCCCCGGGCGAATTCCTCAGCGCTAGCCCGACGCCCCCGGGGCATTTCTCTCCAAACAACCCCCCCGAGTTTCAAGTGGCGCTGCGGGGCTCTCCGGACAGCTTCAGCACCAGTAGCGACGGGACAGCTCCCCTGGTACCTCTTCTCGGGAGGAACTTTATCCACGAGCCGCCCGGTGAGCTGCGCCAGGTCACCATGAAGCGGCACAAGAGCAACGAGGGCCTGGGCTTCAGCATTCGCGGCGGTTCGGAGCACGGAGTCGGGATCTACGTGTCCCTGGTGGAGCCCGGGAGCTTGGCGGAGAAAGAGGGTCTCCGGGTCGGTGACCAGATCATGAAAGTCAACGACAAAGTCTTCGATAAAGTCACCCATGCTGAAGCAGTGAAGGTAAGCGTTGCATTTTTCTTATTTTTCTTACACAGCCGAAGCAAAATTCTCTTTATAATAAACAATAGATGTGTTGTTAATATATGTTGTTAGATCCCAGCAACATTGAACTGGCACGAACTCCTGGGAACTACTTCTGCTCTAGACCTCGCTATCACGTGTATGATTATCCCCCGTCTCGTATTAATTACGTGTTTGGCCTCTGTGTCTGAAATTGACCTCTTGGCACTAACAAGCTCCGATGTGTTCAGGGGAATTAATTTTGTCCACTGAAAGCAGCTTTGTAATATCACTACGCATGTGCTGTAGCAACACTGGAGTGTCAGCTTTAAACTACTACTTCTAGGAAGCTCGTATGTAACCAGACACCTTCAAAGCAGCTGGTAATCGTGTGTGTGTGTGTGTGTGTGTGTGTGAGTGATGAGGTCATTAATTTAACGCTATAACTTAGAATAAAGATGACTTTATCCCCGAGCACTACTGTTAATGACATTGAGCGCAAAGGACACCTATTAGTAAATGAGGTGATAAAAGAGCATGTGCGAATAAGTGTGCAGGGCAGATTGATTTAGGAGGAATTCTATTGAGGACTTGGTTTTATGAGCCTTGTGAACTGTCCATGGTGCTGAAGAGTCCTCTTAACTCTTTTACCTCTTCATCCTGACTTTTCCCCTTTGGCTCAGTTCTTACCCCCATAGGGATTTTTGTTGTGATTGCACTCATTGACACCAAGGTTGTACTCACAGCACAAGCAATCACAGTTCAAAAGCGCAAGTCAGTTTTAGCAGGGTTGTAAAGTTGCATCTCACTTTAATTGTTTTATGTTGTTAAGAGATTCAGAAACTCACTTTCTTAATGCATAATTACACTGAATATGTAAATATACACTCACCAGCTATTTTTAGTATGCTTGTACCAAATTGGACCTTCTTTTTCCTTTAGAACCAAGAACCCTCCTCAGAGATGTGGGTTCATATTGACATGGATAGCATTAAACAGTTGCTGCAGATTTATCAGCTGCACACCCTCCATGCTAATCTCCCATTCCACCACTTTGCAAAGGTGCCCTGTTGGGTTGGGATCTGTGACTGTGGAGGCCATTTGAGTACAGTAAAGTTATTGTAATGTTCCCAGTTTGAGCTGATTTGAGCTTTGTGACATGGTGCATTGTCCTGATGGAAACAGCCATCAGAAAATGGGTACACTGTGGTCATAAAGGGATGGACATGGTCAGCAATAATAGTCAGGTAGGCTGTGGAGTTCAGTACTGGGGCATTTTGCTGGTGTGTCGTAATCATTATGTGTTGTTGGTCTGGTGTCTCATGGAAAAGAGATTTCATTTCAGAGAAACCTCTTGTCAGAGTTTAGAATATCGGTTTATGGAGCCGGCACATGGAAAAGGGAGCTCGTCAAACACTTTTAGTGTCCATAAGATTTATTTTTCTGACACAGGTTGGAAGTATTAACAGTATTAACAAGATTTAGTTAGTTACAATGGCAATTAAAGATAATGAGAAATGTTCACTTGGTGTCCTATGACATAAAATGTGGATGAATGAAATGTGTTCACTCTTTCTACATTGCCATGTGCTGTCTTTGGCCCGTGGGCCACACGTTGAGAACCATGGTTTCAGCACATGGATCTTTTGCACTCAAAGGGTAGAAAGTTCTCTGTTAAAGTCGACGAGCTAAAGAAAAGTAGCGACCAAAAGTGCCAGGTATCTGTAAGCTGCTTTTTAAAATGGTGGTTATCTGTAGTTGAAAGGTCACTGTTATGTTCCCTCCAGCAACCATGGATTATAGCTCAGATTGAGTCCTTTCTAACCTTCACTGGTCTTCAAAAAGTCATCCAGGCTCTGTCTGGTCTCGTCTGGGTTTTTGTAATTCACTTTATTCAGGGCTCAGCCACATGGCAATCCCCCATCTGCGTTTAATCCAAAAAACTGCACCTTTAGGCTTTTGGCTAATGCTTAGACATGAGAACATTTTATGCCTCTTTTCCTTCCCCATGGTTGCTTTAGGGCAAGTTTTGGGCTTTACGGGGTCAAGGTCCCTGACACATAATATTTAACCTCCTTTTGTTTATGGGCCCTCTGTTATCGCCTCTTCATTCCTGGTGTATTCTGTATCGTTTCTTATTGTAGCTTTGTTCATTTGATCTGCCCATAAGGGAGACACATAGGACATATACTTTCATAACCTTTTAGTACGTCGAAGTGAAGCATTCATTGTCCTATTTTTGTCTTAATAATACATTCTCTTAAATCTGCTGACTACAGTCTTTCACAAAACTGCAGGAGACTGTGACTGTGCCTCATTTATGCATTGGCTGGAATACTAATGGCATGTCTTAGTTTTTTTATTTTTTATTTCTCAATCATTTCAAGTTGTCTCTTATCTGTGGGAAAAAATGCCGTTCATCATTGCTATTGTAAATAAAGAAGTGGAGCATTCTCATCCCTTAATTCCCGTCATCAGAATTCAGCTGCTCCATATTGATGATAGCATGTCTATACCTGTGACTGCTACTAGTTACCACTGCTGCATGCCCTAGTGCTGTTATTAGCTGCAAAGTGCAGGCATCCAGCCAGCAGGAGAGGAGCCTTGTCTAAGATAAAGTCCCCCTGGAGGTCATTAATGCTTGAGTTCAGTTATTTTTATGCCTTCTCAGTTTGGACTAAATTTTATTACAGGCTTTTAGAACTGTAATCAATTTAACCTTTTAAACTCCAGGCCCACTTGCAAGTCCATCAATACAAACTCATGTTGTGCAACCAAACATTGTAAAATATAGTTTATATTCAGGTCAAGATGCTGGGCGACATTGTTTTTAATCTTGTGCTGCATCACTTCTTGTTTGTACACCCTAAAGCTTAATTTGTAATTTTAGGGATGCACCTTGAAGTGTGTGTGTGTGTGTGTGTGAGAGGGCCGGAGGGTGTGTGTTCTTGTTTTTGTTGTCTTTGATGTCATCTATCCTCCTTTTCAACAAGAGAAACAAATACATTCTCATTATCAACAGTTGTAAAGTCTTTTATCCTTCCATCACAATGTTTTTGAACATTTATTTGGCACAAAATTGATGGGAAACAAAAGATAAACATCAAACACTGCCATCGGAAAATGCCATCCTCCTAACCAATGGCAGTCATCAATAAGAGGGGAATTTTTAGATGTGGCTTCTGCTTATTTGGTGAAGTCCCAAGAGATCATGCACAGCAGGGCCCTTTTTCTGTATGATAAATAGATTCTGTGGATGACCTGGAAGCCATTTGACCTGTGTTTATGTCTGTGAGCACAGTCAGTGGCAAAGCAGATTTTTGGCCACCAATAACAAATCAATATCAGTTTAAGTGCACCCTATATTTGGAACATTGTTACCGGTTTACCTGTTGCCCGACAGCTCTTCCTGCTGAGGAAGTGAAGCAGTTACACTCTACCAAGCTCCACTGATAAAAGCAGTGATTTTTACCCAACACAGGAGTTGTTTGTCTACCACTTCTCAGTGTTATAAGACATTAATTCAGAACTTAAACACACAAAGTGGATGAACAAGGAGCTGGTCCCGTTTTCTGTAAGGTAAAAATGGCTGCTTTTATCAGTTTTGTCTGGTGGTTTTAAAAGACAATTTCTTTCTGAATGTGTTGTTTCTCCAAATCAAGAACTTTGTTGACTGTTGCCACATATCCATTTGCAGCATTAACATAAGCTATGCAGTTTCTGGAGAAATTGCTGTGGGACTGTTGTTGTTACGGGATTTTGGTCTGTGGCTTGCTGCTAAAAATTTTGTGGTAAATAGGTTTTTATTCTCAAAATGGCGATATTTCTGAGCATCATGCTAATGTTCTAAAATGACCTATGGGGTTTTATTTAGAAAATTTCAGTGTTAAATTATATTGATCTTCAATAAGTATTTGGAGGGTTTCATCTTTAAAAAAAGAGTGTCAATTAAATTCCTTTATTATTCTTATAAACTTGGGATTTTTATTTTGAATATCAGAGATATATCTGACACTGGTGGGTTTTTGTTGTTGTTGTTTTTAACAGTTAACTGTTAAGGCCTTTATTTGAAAAATCTCCCATCGTTAGAGCACCTTGATGACATACAATAAATAGTATATAAGTAAGAGTGGAAATGATCCAACTTTTAATTTGGAAGTTCTTTGTTTCTTCTTCTTTCTTTTTTTTTTAAAAGCACATTGTTCTTCTAAGAAACAGGTGACTTTTATGTTCAAACTTGATGCTATCTACTGCTGGAGCGGTGCTGTGTCTCCAGTTTATGTCATTATATTACACAAATTATATTATTTATTTAAAAAAAACAGATAAATCTCAGAACTCTGGTCTCTGCTTTGATAACTGGCTCTCTTGAGTTAGTATTTCTGTACGAGTTGAAGCCTGGTCTCAGGATTTTCTACAACAATCAAAGCTGATATGTTTGCCTGATACATCGTTGCATCTCTAAATAGTTTTCTCATTAGACTCCTTAAACAACAAACCAAAGCACATCTAATAAACTTTTCTGATGATTAACTGACTGAATCTCTGTGTTTATAGTCCTTTCAAAATCCAACAGCCACGTCTGTGAAGCTCAGTGAATCTAAGCTTCTGTCATTTGTGACAGATGAAATTTCACCACTGAATAAGCAGCTGTCTGTACGCTCTTGATGAATCCAGCTGTGACAGCAATTCATTTCAGCAGTCTCGTCGCCTTGAACTGAACGCCGGTCGCTCCGAATATCCAACTTCAAGTCTCAGTTTTAATTTATGTTTTTAACGCCAAACCAAATGTTATTAAGGTGGAAATTGTTGCAGCTCTAAATTCTAATCTTCAAGTCCAGAAATAGTTTTCTGCCACATTTACTAAGTGGTTCGAGCTGAGCGATCTCAGGATCTCAGGAGCAGGAACAGGCAGCTGTTTTTCCAAGGAAGATGCTTTGATTGTCCTCCACACTGCAAAAACATTTTTAAAACATGTTGATGTTAATCCCAAAGGCAAC